CCTACTTCCGTAGTGATACTGCCTCGGAAACCCAAGGAGGGGTCGCTATGAGTCAGGGCTGACTCGACGGCACATAACAACAACAACAACAACAACAGCTTACAGTCTGTCAGCTGAGGGTGGCAGGCTTGATTTACTACCCATTGACTCTCTCTCATATCACGGTCCAGTGTGGGTCGTGTGGGGTGAGGAGGAATGAGAGTGGGTGAGGACAAGGTGTGCCCTGTTCCACAGAGTCCTTCAGGGCCCCGGGTTCCATTGAGCCAGTGGCTCCACCATCCTCAAGGCCTCGGCCCCCTCCACGTTTCTCTGTACGGAGCTAGTTGTCGGGGGAAGGGAGAGAGCCAGCAGAAGCACGAACACACAGTTATTAGACCAGGCCTGGAAGTGGCTCCCATCCCATCTTTCCACATGTGTTGGCCACTCGTCATGCACAGGGCTTCCTAACTGCAAGAGAGGCTGGGAAATGTTGTTCAGTGATGAATCAACAAGGACTGGTGAACAGCAAGCCCATCTTTCCCACAAAGGTGGTAGTAGAACATACCCAACTACTGCTATATTCATTATCTTCTGGCATTGCATGGAGTACTTCTGCCTCATTTAGTTTATTCCTACAACTTGGGTTGACTGATTGATAGGTGCATGGAAACGTTAGAGTTTGTATGTCCCATGTGGATTGCACATTGCATTGGAGAGGGAGGAACGGGGCCGTCATTGTGTAGGCTCAGCATCATTTTCACAGGTGTACAGAGGGGGACTGTCAGGAAACATATATTTGTGACAAAGATGACTGTATCCAGTTTAACAGCTAACCTGACAGCATCAAGGAGCTGCTACATGAATTGTGCCCGTAATGAACAAGTCGTCGTCCTTTTTTTCCTGGGAAGTTTTTTTCTTTAGGTGCTGCAAACAGGTAATGTGTTCAGCTGCTAACTGAAGGGGTGGACGTTTGAGTCTCCCCCGAGGCACCTGGGAAGAAAGCCCTGGCTGTCTGCTTCCAAAACATCAACCGTTGAGCACAGTTGTACTGTTACCATGAGCTGGAGTTGCCTCAGCGGCAACTGGGTTTGATTTTGTTTTGTTTCGTTTCGTTTAGACAGAGGCAGCCAAGAGTGTGTCTGCTGTCTCCGTTTTAGATGCTGATAATGGGAGGATACACAAGAAATGCCATCAAGGATTTGACAAATTCATTCCATTCCCTGTCCCTCTCTCTGGCTTCCAGGTTCCTATGGAGACATTTTTGAAAGCAGCTCCCTCCGACCAGGGCTGTGTTCCCTCTCTCAAGGGAACCTGGCCCTGAATTGGTCTCGGTGGCAGGGTAGCCCCACAGAGCTGGACAGTGGCATGCAGGTCATCCGGAGGACTCAGACCACAGCCACCATCACAGAGTGCCGCGCCCACCCCCCTGTGTCACGCGTCTGCTGCTCGCCGCACGCCCAGGGCCGCGGGAGGCGATCGGAGCCGTCCACGTCCCGGTCGGAGCAGTCTTTGACTCTGAGCAGCGCCGAAGACCTGAGCGAGAGCGAGCTGGATGTGGCATGGCTGCAGACCCGAGCCGAACCTCAGTACCAGAGACCACGAGAGAGTGGGAGGCACGACAAGAGGCCTCCACCTCCTTATCCTGGTCCGGGGAAGCACGTCTTAGCAGCCTCCCAGCAGCATGCAGAGTCCCTGTTGTGGAGGCGTCAGAAGCCAGGGGAAGGCTCCTCAACAGCCTTGGAAGAAGGAGGCCAGACATCCGGGCAGGAGCACCAGGCCACACAGCAAAAACTGAGTAGCGGCTATGCCGCCCCCGTCAGCGATCAGAACAGTAAGACGCTGGGGGAGCCCAGCTGGCTGGACTGGCAGCGAGAGCGGTGGCAAATCTGGGAGCTTTTATCGACTGACAACCCTGACGCCCTCCCTGAAACGCTGGTATGAACCCACACCCAAGCTCCAGCCCTCACCTCCTCAACATCCTTCTTCCCTTCCGTGGTGGTGGTGGTGGTGGTGGGGAGTGGATGTTGGACAATCGGACACTTGCTTATCTCTCTTCTTTTATGCATTTAAAAAGCAACACGAGAGACGCTCGATTCACTTAATGACGTAGAGCCCCCTTCCCGTCACCATTTACAATGTGGTCCTGTTGCATAGCCAGCCTTGGGAAGAAACCAAAACGATGACAATAACTCGTCTAAAAAAAGACCCACCTTGGCTCTGTGTAAGATAAAACTCCTGCTTTAGTATTGCTGAGTTGTATTTCTGTGTCTTCTGTAACAGATTATGTATAATAATCGTATATATCCACAGAGAAAAAAACAGAAGGAACCATTTTTTAATCACTTCACTTATATTAAGCAACGAGATATACTAAGCAATGAGATTCTATAGAATGTTCTAGAATGTGCGTAAGTGGGTTTCTGTAGCTTTTGAGCGGGGGACAGCCCTTCAATGCCTAAGAAAAACACATAAAAAAAAGAGAAACAAACCAGAATGCAAGAAAGCCATATTTTTCTATAGTAGTGAGAGATGAAAAATATAGTCACTGAGTGCTTTTTCATATTGAATATGTTTTAAGGAATATATTAAATTTGATACATTTAAGAAATATATTTTTGGAATCTGTTTAGAAAGAATTCACATAACCAAGCAAGAGAAAGGCCGTGCCTAACAAAGAAAGAATAATGAACAAGTTGTCCTTCCCCTTCTAGGTCAGGTTCAATTTTATGGAGACCATACATAATATATATTTATAATGTATAATTTTATGTACTTTTCAAAACTGCAAACTGGAATCCAACGGTAAGGTGGTGAAGAATCTAAGTAGAGTAATCAACTTACAGAAGAACACGGCTTTCCCTGTGCCCCATAATCGGTATTAACCAAATTACATGAAATGCTTTGTAAAGTAAATCGTAATTAGGAAGAGAAAAACTTATAGCTCTGTGCTTATATTGTGCCAAAAGCTGAGGAAATGCCTTCTTCAGTGAACTTCTGTCATATTGTAAAATGTTCTACTTCAGTAATCGATTTGGTCAACTGCACTACCATATACGACCAGCAGTTGGCGTTTTGCTTCAGTATTTTATGAGATGTTTCATAAGGGAAAGTGTATTATAAAAAAAGATTTTTTTCTTTTATAAAACATGCTATTCTTAATTTTCGTGTTGGCGATGCCATTTGCAGTGGTGTTTCTTCAAGTTCTCTCTTGTGCCATAATGAATAAAAAGTTAAACAAGGCTTTGTTCCCTGGCATTGAATCTAATGAGTGAACTCAGATCCCCTTCTGCACATAGACGTCATTGTCCACAAGGGCAAGTGTAACGAATAATGGTAAGATTATATGTATGCAACCGAGGAGTTAGTACAAAAAAAAAAAAATTTATCAGATGCGTTGGGGGCAGCAACCCAGTGACATGGGCATTTAGAAACTCAGGATAATTATTTGTTCCAAGTAAAGGCTGATGTCCGTTGTTGGTGAGGAGGCGGTTTGCTATAGAACTGGGGCTCAGATGTCCTACCTGACAGACAGGTGTTGCCCAGGCCAGTTTCTGGAAGTTACCTCTGCACTATAGGCCTTGGCTGCATCACTTGCTTCGGGGCATGATAAGAAAACCAAGCAGTGTTTTCTTCGGCTTCTTGTTGGAGGAAAGGTTAGTTAGGAACTCTTCAGGCTCAGTCAGGAGTGTTTAGCACTTCTGCCACAGAGTCTGGCCAAGAAGGATTTGCCTGTGGGCTTCGGATTCTTCCTGGCTGCCCACCCTCAGTGGAAGCTGTGAACAAGATCCACAACAAAGGTGACTTGATTGACAGCAAGTCACTCTACGTTCCACCTGCTCCTGCTGACCGTGGGCTTGCTTGCCTTTGAAATTGACTGTGGCCTGCCAGTTCCTTCCCCACTTCCTGGACTGGATGGCCTGTCCTATGAGACCCACTCCCCACCATGATCTTATCGTAATACATAATAGCCCTTTTGGAAAATAAGCCAGGTCACATGGCTCTGAGATGCACATCTCTGCCACCAAAGGTAGCAAAAGGTATGTCTATGTGTTTAAGTCGATTCAATGGCACCAGCCTTCTAGTCAGCAGTCAAATGCCTTAGGCACTACGCCACCAGAGCTCCCGTGTGTTAGTAGATTGAAATTAGCTGGTCCAGAAAATGAAGGCCTCACAACAATTTTTAAATAGGAGAATTTGGCTGTGCATGTGTGTAAGTAAAATGAACTTAAAACAGGGTATCATCTCAACTAAACAGAATTCATGGTTGTGTTTAAACACACACACACACACACACACACACACACTACCAGTTCCCATCAAGTTGAGTCTCAGGCATGGTAACGCCATGTTCAATGGCTGATTTTTCAAGAGTAGATCACCAAGCCTTTCTCCCGAGGTGCCTCCAGGGGGACTCGAACCGCCAACCTCTGGGTCAGTAGTGTGCACTTCCATTATTTGCACCACTATATATTCCTATCTGTATTCAGTTGCCTTTTCCCTCCGTAACGTCTAGAGCCAGCACCAGCAGTAGCCTTAGCTTAGTGAACACACCCTCATGAAATTTCTGAGGTGCCTTTGTCATATTGAAAGTTAGCTGCTTTTAAAACACACACGAGACCCCAGTGCCTGAGTGGGAATTGAAACGATGTCTGTTGTTGTTGTTGTTGTTATGTACCGTCGAGTCGGACCCGACGCATAGTGACCCCTCCTTGGGTTTCCAAGGCAGTATCACTACGGAAGTAGACTGCCCCATCTTCCTGTAAACGAGCTGATGTACTGCAAGGAAAAATAAAACTTGAATGCTCTCAAGGGGGACAAAACCTCTTTAACGGGCTATTAGTCATTCGTTCTGTAGGAGCACAGATCTGGCAAACAGGCAAGGAGAAAACACCGTGTGGCACAGATGTCCACGCACCTATGATCTCGACCTTATTTTTTGAGTCCTTTGGAATTGGGCTGGATGGCGATGGCAGAAATAGCCAAATGTGAACTTTTCTTGATCCACCTAAGTAGCCATTAACATCTGTTCATTGTAGGTTTGTACAGGGGGCGGAGAGGGAGCTCCGAAGCCAATGGAGTTTGTGCTAACTGAGGAGACTTCTCAATAAATCCAGCCTGCTTATTATCTTATGCACATTATAATCCACATCTGCCTGGCAGAGACCCGCCTTGGGCGCACATCAAGGCGCCATCAGAACAAAGCGCAGGCCTGTGGCGTCGGGCGCTCTGATAAGCGAACTGCAGGAGTTGGGGAAAGCTGAACCAAGAAGAAAGGAAACGAGTAAGAGTCACGCGGAGTTTAAAACAGGACAGCAGCTCAGCCAGCCAGAATGTAAAACAACGCAGTCAGCAGCAAATGGTCCTCAAGGGGAAAACGTACAAACCCAAGGGAAATTCTGACAAGGGGCGGGGTATTCTTCCACACAGTGAAAGCGACAGCTGGGGCCGGGCCTCGTCTCACTACAGTCAGTGGTATCTGGGCTGCAGATCCCGACCTGATGGGAACCTCAGTTCGCCAAGGAAGGGGCCTGCAGCACCGTCGCCCACTGGAAGGCCCCAGGAGGTTGCACAATGCTCCAGAGATTCCCTAAGTTCAACCAACAGCTGTTCCGCCGAGCGTGACCAACTTGTCTCAGTTCACACGGGACACCCCCAGGTTTAGAACTTAAAGACTCACTTCTTGGGAAACGCTTCAGTCTTGAGCAAACCGGGGCAGTTGGTCACCCCTGCTGGGTACAAGCCAGGCCACTGTCTGCCAGGATGGGGCTACCGAATCCCCAAACTTGGTACCTCTCAGTTGGGGTCCCTGTGTAAGGTACAGAGCACTCAGTTCCATGTGAATGTCAGGCACACCGTGGACCCTTTTTCAGTAGGAGTATGTCCCAGACAGTAAGTGGCTGGGGCACACTTACCCTAACATGATTTGTGGTCCCAGATACTGCCTGGGAGATGCTTGGACAGTAAGAGCAGCAGAAACCTGTCAGAGAAGGAAAACGCAAATATTTTCCATTAAAATGAACAATAGGAAAATGGTAAGATTGCACCCTGTCAGAGGCGGAAAGCTTGTGAGACCTGGATAAACAAGGCAGGCCCGTTGCGTTCCGGCTCTCGCAGGTTTCATTGTATTAAAATACAATCGCTGTTCATCTGACGTTCGAATTGAACTCGGTGCCCTGTGTTTCTTTCTCGTTGCTAAACCTGGCAACCCTAACCTGCAGCCGTGCCATCCCACCCGGTCTCCAGTGGCCTGTTTGACACTTTTATGAATGGCCCATGGGTGTCTCAACTGTCCTAAAGGGCTAACCGCCTCTACTATAACCACGAGCCAGTTTCTCATCAGCCCATTCTCACCCACGGAGTCTCCCGTTTCTCACTGCTGCCTCCTCTAGGGTCCCAGTGCTGTTGACTGGTATGTACAGGCCTCCTGTTTGTCCTACCCTCACTGTCTTAGTTTGCGTCCACATCCTCGCTCTTGGAATACTGCCTCTCATCCCGGCCTCCCCCCCCTCCTCCACACCACCGCCCTCTCAACTTCAGAAATCCACATGTGGCCACGGGTGCATCCCTGCTTCAAAACCATTGGTGCTCTCCTGCTCCTCGGGATTGTGCAGCTGTGGGACAAAGTCCACCTGCTGCACAATGAGGTGGAAACACACCAGAGTCAATCTCCATCTGCCTTCCGACAAGGTGCCCATCTTCTGGTGCATATGGAAAACCTCATCCCCACGAACACAATGAAGGCTCACATTTCTGTTCCAAGGGCCCCGAATGCTGTTCCCTGCATTTCCTATTCAATACAACACTATCTCCTTTGTAAAATAACCTGGAACCATCCCCTCCCACAAATGCAATGAATGACTTTTCTTCTGGCAATTTGTACTTGTGGCCAAGTTCACAAGCATCGCTGGGAATTACAGCTTATGGCTCTGGCTTTATTTTAT